CGCCACAGAGGGGCTTAAATTTTAACTTTTCATTCAGTACATGACTGCAAAGTGCAACTAATTTCTGTTGTGTAATAACTGGAACATCAGTCATGACGTTGCAAGAACGGTCTTGATGTAGAAAATGTGGGCTCTTGCAGTCAGATCAAAGTCCACAATTTCAGGTGATTTGGTGCTGCGGTACACATGGCAAACACATAAAGTACAGGTGTATCATTGACTATTTATAACACTTATATCACCCTAGTGCAGACAGCAGCAATTGTATGTGTTATTAAAAGTTACATTAGCACTGAATGCTTTACACACTTGATCATTTTAAATATTTGGGTTTAATCAGTGCATGAAGGAAAACTTTTCATTCAGTACATGACTGCAAAGTGCAACTAATTTCTGTTGTGTAATAACTGGAACATCAGTCATGACGTTGCAAGAACGGTCTTGATGTAGAAAATGTGGGCTCTTGCAGTCAGATCAAAGTCCACAATTTCAGGTGATTTGGCGCTGTACACATGGCAAACACATAAAGTACAGGTGTATCATTGACTATTTATAACACTTATATCACCCTAGTGCAGACAGCAGCAATTGTATGTGTTATTAAAAGTTACATTAGCACTGAATGCTTTACACACTTGATCATTTTAAATATTTGGGTTTAATCAGTGCATGAAGGAACACACTTGAATACACTAGTTACTTTATGTCTAAGACATGCTCAACACTATATAGTTCTAAATAAAGTTTCTTTATTGGCAGTTATTATTCCATGAAGAATCTTTAACAATCGTGGAAATTTCACTAGGTTCTTTATAGTTGAAAAAGGTTATTTAATATTCTTCACACTAAGAAGAAAAAAAAATTATTTTAAGAACGGTTCACTAAAAGGTTCCTTGGGGAACCAAAAATGGGTTTTCTATGGCATTGCTCTAAAAAATTCCCTTCTTGAAACTTTATTTTTAAGAGTAAAGAACAAAGACCGCTGCTAAAATGGCCCTCTGGTTTCACAGAGTCAGTCTTATTTTCTTGCAAGGCCAAGACAGTTGATTGTGTTCTGTTGGTTATTGAAACTAGATATATTATAACTTTAAACAAAAGTGTCGACCCTTGAAACCCATGAACTAGTACCACATGTACTGCAATGGCTGATCCTTGCATTAAGTGGCTTAAGTTGGTTATGTGACTGTCTCACCAAAACTGATCTCTTGTGTTAGATCTAATCCTCTTTAATAGGCCTAGTCCCTGATCAGAGTCCTCAACTTAGTCCCGACACTGTCAGAATACGCAAATTACTACGTCAGTGTGTGTATGTTATTGCACCCTATCAATGAACAATCTCTGCTGTCTTCTGGAAACTGTAATGTAGTGTGATATAACAGGGCAAAGAAATGGTAATTTCCTGTTACTTTTTGCAAAGTATCACATAACTGACTTAGGTTATTTCTTGCTATTTCTCAGCTATTTCTTGTTGTGCATATATATATATATATATATATATATATATATATATATA